CTCATTAGTAAATGACACTGAGGAACTAGATTTCTTATTTTGTAAGATGTGCAATTGTCATCTATTCTACACTCATAGAAGCAAGATGAGTAATGTTCATAAGTCATGGTTTCATTACACAAAGTAACTGTGTTCTTCCATTAGACTCAGGGATATTTAGTGTGCTATGATAGTATGCTGACAGTATTTGCCAGTATGTGTATTAAGTGTTTTTCACACCAGTGGACAGTGCTGAATTTAAGCCTGTAAGAATTTTTAATTGTATGAAACGTATAAGAGTTTTAACTTGGTGGACACAGAAACAAAAAAGGAAAAAGAAGTATTGAAACTGATCAAAATATATTGCAATCCTTTATTGTTACTCAGGAAGTGTCTTATGGGAGAAATGTAGGTAGCATTTGCTTTCTGTCGAGAAGTGAAACCTATTGGCAGAGTATCATAGGCAGTAATGATCCTTGGAATAATTTAGCCAGTAAGAGGAAGGAGGGAGGTGGGGTCAGCAATGGATTGATAGAGCAAAGTCTTTTTTATTATTTTTTTAATTTTATTTAGTTATTTTTCAATTACAGTTTTTTGTCTATTTCTCCCATCCCAGTCCCCCCACCCCATGCTCCCCACCTCCCTCCCATTTCCACCCCCCCCTTAGTTCTCATTTTTGTATAGCAAAGTCTTTACTGTCCAAAAAGAATGCTCATCCACAGGGTCCTAGAATGTACATAAATCCACCCACCCAGGAATCAGTACCAGAATGGCCCAGTTTTCTTGTGGGTAGTGGAGGAAAAGACTGAAAGCTACCAAGAGCTGAGCAAGATGCATTGTTTCCTCTGTGGCCCCTCCCCCACATACACCACCTACAGTGCAGCCATGTGAGTTGCCCTGTGCTGGAGAATACCTATGGCCCCACCCCTTATTATGTAACAGGCACACCGAGACAAAAAATATGGCTCAAATGTGAAAGAACAAATCAAAGTCTAAAAATAGAACTAAGCGATGTAGAGACAGGCAGCCTACCAGATGCAGAGTTCAAAACATTGGTAACCATATCTATGAACAGTTCAAAACACTGTTCATAGATATGGTTGAGTATGGTTGCAAAATAGAGGAAAAAGTGAAGGCCATGCAAAGTGAAATAAAGGAAAATATACAGGGAACGAACAGTGATGGGAAGAAAACCAGGACTTATTGAAAAACTTATTTGAAAAAATAAGGAAAAATTCCCCAGTCTGGCAAAGGAAATAGACTTCCAAGAAATCCAAGAAGCTCAGAGAGTCCCAAAGAAGTTGAACCTAATAAACACACACCAAGGCACACCATAATTACATTACCCGAGATTAAAGATAAAGAGAGAATCTTAAAAGCAGCAAGAGAAAAGGAGACAGTTACCTATAAAAAAGTGCCCATAAGACTATCAGCTGATTTCTCAAAAGAAACCTTGCAGGCAAGAAGGGACTAGAAAGAAGTATTTAAAGTCATGAAAGGCAAGGACCTACTACATCCAAGATTGCTCATTCCAGCAAAGCTTTCATTTAGAATGGAAGGGCAGATAAAGTGCTTCCCAGATAAGGTAAAGTTAAAGGAGTTATCATCACCAAGACCTTAATTCTATGAAATAAAGGAACTTATCTAAGAAAAAAGAAATGGATGAGGACTGGGGGGGGGGAATGGGAGGGAGGGGGGAGACCGGGGGGGGGGGGGAAGAGAAAAAAAAATGTACTTGAAAAGTAACCAAATAAAATTTAAATAAATAAATAAAAAATAAAAAAAAGAAAATAATTTTGTTAAAATGAAGAATTAATAAAAACTATATCTTCTCAAAAAAAAAGAAAAAAGAAATGATCAACACTGTGAACAGTAAAATGACAAAAACTCACGAGTATCAACAACAGAACCTAAAAAAAAACAACACAGAAGCAAAAGGAAAAACTAAGCAAACAACTAGAATAGGAACAGAATCACAGAAATTGAGATCTTGTGGAGGGTTATCAGTGGGGAGGGGGGAGAGCGAGGGGGAAGGAACAGGGAATAAAAGTATAAGTGGTAGGTACAAAATAAACAGGTAGTTTAAGAATAGTATAGGAAATGGAGAAGCTGAAGAACTTACATGTGTGACCCATGGATATGAACTAAGGTGGGGGAATGCTGGCAGGAGTGGTGGTACAGGGTGGAGGGGAATAATGGGGAGGAAAAAATGAGAACTTTTATAGCATAATCATAAAGTATATTAAAAAAGAATGGTCATAACCTCAACAAGTGATTGCTCTTAACCACAAAAACAAAAATATAAAATATTTTTATTTATCCCTATTCTAATGCAACATTGTTCTTTTTTACCCCAGGTCCTTTTACATTTACTGATTTATATAAAAATAAAACAGTCATTAAAGTTAACTTTCTAATGACCTAGTCGTAGTCCTTTGTGAAGAAAATGAGATGTTTGAGTTTTCAGGGCCCAATGTATTTAACTGTGCACTTTTTCTCAAGAATAACACCACACACTTTTCCAACATGGATATGTTTATGACCATAGTCGTGTGCTGTTTTTTGCTAGGAATCTATCAATCTTGACAGTCTTATTAACGGTTGTCCTGGGCTGCTTAGGAACCAAGAGATTCCATCAGGAGCTACTTATGCTGACTCAGAAGAGATCAGACTTTGTGTAGCCTGTGCCAATAAGTTGTGGTCACTGTACACTGTGTACATAATTGTACATGTGAATGAGTGTGTGCACATTATCCACATACAGTATGGTTTGAATGGCACTTTGTGTGAATGAGACTGGTACACTATGCCCATATGCTGTGCATATGAATGACACTATTTGTGTGAATGAGTATGTGTACATTGTGTACCGACACTGTGCAATGTGAAATACATTGTGCATGTGAATGAGTGTGTGGAAAGCATACAGTAAAGCTTTTGATGAACTGGGCTTCCTAATGGTACTTGGGGCCTGCTTCCTTTTTCCTTATGTTAATAAAAATTGTCAACCTTTGTGTTTAAAGTTCCTTTGAAGAAATGTTCCAATAGAAGTGTGTTACTCTGTAACACTAGCCAGTACAAACTGGTTTTGTTTAGAATTAAGGCAGTTATCCTACTTATTCAGTATCACATTCTTCATTTTTACTTAAACTATGGCCATGTTGAAGTCACAGGTGAAACAATACCCATTTGGTATACAGAGTTTGAGAATTATTGCATGGACTGTTATATAGACTATACTTGTCTATATGACTCTTCTTTTATTTGCAGTCATTACCTCCAAAGCCACATGACAACTATGTCCATAAAATATGCTGTAATATTCTACACTTGGAACCAAGTGTTAATTTAGAACCAAGCTGGAAGCCACCATTTTGAAGATGGATCACTGTCCTAAGATGATGACATGTTTTGTTATGTATTTGGTCTAATTCAGTAATGTACAATTTGGAAGTTGTACTTTAAACTCAAGGGGGGGTAATGGTGGGGACGGGGGGGTAGGGTGGAGGGGAATGAAGGGGGGAATAGAACAACTGTAATGGCATAATCAATAAAAAAATAAATTAAAAAATGATGTTTTTTCTCATTTGCTCTTTATATTAATATCTGATTAATGATATTGCATCTTTTATCTTAAGAACAGTATGTGCAAACTAAACCTACTTTGGGTCTGTGAGGCTTGTGAGTGCCTCACAAATGTCAGAGGGCACTAGGAGATGCTTGGCTGTAACAGGTTTCTTCTGTGTGTGTGTTTCACCTTCTTCCTGTTAATGTGTTCTTCCCTATATGTGTGTATATGTGGGCATGCACTCTCACATGCATTTATTTTTCCTCATACAGGCACACACATGTACCTAGACTGTTCAGAAACTTTTGGGTCTTCAGAAGAACATCAGTAATAAGTGGAATAAGTGTGTCAGTGCAGAAAATAAGGAAGTTCTAGGGAACCAGTCATTATTTCCTTTAGAAAATATATGTATTAATAAAGGGAATCTGGTTATCAGGTTTTCCTCAAAGATTTTTTAATTTTCTCTCTGTCTAACCAAGGATGATTTTTTTTCTTTTTCTGCAACTTCTTTCTTTGTTCTCACTTTAATTCTGCTTTCATCTCATTCTCATGCTACCTATAAGTCTTTCTTAGCATGACTCTTTGCAGGTGTTTAGCAGAACCCTTTCTCTGTGTCCTGTCTGCAACAAAGGGCAGAATGAGCCTGCTGGTGTGGTTTCTTTCCCAGGGGGGTGTATAAGACTGACAGTCATAAGGGTGACTTGTTTTAGTTTTTCAGAGCTGTGTCATCCTCTCTTTTCTTCATTCCCCCTCTGATCTTCTCACACAAACTCTGCGTTTTCTCTTGCTTATTTTTTTTTAATAAAGCAAGAGGCTGGGGATGAGCTGAGTCCAGAACAGCATACTGTCACTGATTAGTGTTTTGTTACCAGAGCTTGATGGACTCACCTAGCTCTCTTCGGGGTGGTGAATTCTCACTAAGCCTGCTGCCCACTGGTTCTGTGGCACTGGTCTATATTTAGTAATCCACCCCTGGCCTTGCCAGAGAGTGAGACTGTTGCTTGAGGTTAGAGGTGAACCTTCTCCTCCTTAAGTGTGTCAGGTGATTTATGTTCACAAGTTCATTCTCAAACAGAAATAGCCTTTCTGGTAATTAGTTGAAATAGTAGCAGTCAGTTCTCTTTTTTTCTCCCATTTTTACAGATGAGCAAATTAAGGTCCAAAGAAGTGGAGTAAATTGCCAAAGGTTCACATAGTGCAAGAACTGGGACCCCAAATGCCCTCTGCTCCATGCTTCCTCTCCATGCTTCCTCTCCATGCTTCCTGTGCTCATCTTTACCTTTTGCACCTTTCGTGTTTCTTGCATGGCTTGTAATCACATTTCAAAGTACCTAGTTCTTGGCACAAGGATAAAGTGAATGGATGATTTTCCCTTGTTGGGGAGACTAAAAACTCCAGTAAAATCACACCCATGATTCAGAAACCACACATTTTATTTTTATTTTTTCTAAAGGATGAAGAGGAAGAAATCAAACTGGAGATAAATATGCTGAAGAAATATTCCCATCATAGAAATATTGCAACATATTACGGTGCTTTTATTAAGAAGAGCCCTCCAGGACATGATGACCAGCTCTGGGTGGGCACATGTTTCCGTAGACTTTGTGGGGTTTCCTCTTGGGTTGTATTAAAAGGGCATTAGGGACCATCCAGAAGGAGGAAAGAGAAAAGCAAAGAAAGGGGCTGGTGTATTTTTTTGCCTTTTTGATTGACATTATACTGATTATTTTGATGTTGATTTTGCTTTGTCTGGAAAAGAGTTAAATTTATATTTCAGGAATAAAACAGCATGTTTTAAAAGGAATGTTAACCAATGAGCAAGGAGATTAAAAACTTGAAAATAAATACAGACTAAAATTAAAACTTTATTTATGGAAGTTAATTAATGTGAAAAGTCAACTGAATACATCTTTCTTTATCACCTGGAAGTGAGAGACAAATTACAAGGAAACAAACTTATATCAGTAATTTTTAATAAGTTTAGTGATAATTGTTCATTAAAAATAATAAATTTCAGGGAAATTTCTGGGCTGGACACATTCAAACTTATCTGTTATTAAACACATTTATATTCATGATAATCAAACTGAGATTCTCTCAGAAATATGGTCATCATATTAGTTATGCCAAAGGTCCTGGGCTTAGAAAGCAAGAAGATAGATTAATACTTTTCCTAATTTTTAAAAAAGTCATTGTAGAAAGTTTTCAAAATTAAGAAAGTACAAGGGAGCAGTTACTTTCTTTTTCATTGTCCAAATCCCATCATTGTTAAAACTTTAGTTCAATTGGTTTTTCTAGGTATTTTAAAAATATACTTATATCCATGCTGTTCAGACATTTAGATATAGTAAGTGCTGTAGTTTTAAAAACTGTGTATGACTTAGAAATAACACTTCTCTTTTGTACTACCCAGTCAATGTAAATTAGTTTGAGAATCATAATAGTTTGAATCTGGCAAATGAAAAACAATGTTAGGGAGTCTTTGTTTCAGATATTTGATAACTGAGCTTTGGAACAAAATAGCTCGCCTGTGTCCAAATGCTAAGGAGAGAGAAGGGACATTAGAATTTGAGACACATGGTCATAAACTAAAGGGGGGTAATGGTGGGGATGGGGGGGTGCAGGGTGGAGGGGAATGAAGGGGGTGAATAGAAAAACTGTAATGGCATAATCAATAAAAAAATAAATTAATAAAAAAAGATCCTCTTCAGAAGATCTTAATCTCCTGGACTGAAATATATAGTTAATACATTTGATGGTGAAATGATCTCAATAGTCTGAATGCCTCCAAAGTGATCATGCACCCAGATCTTTAAGAAGGGCAAAAGGGAGTTAAACTGTGCTTTTCTAACTTGTCTGGGGTGTGTACAATGTCCTGATACTGCACTGACTGTTGGGATATGATAGTTGTGTCTTTTCTGCCTTATAGCTTGTTATGGAGTTCTGTGGGGCCGGGTCCATCACCGACCTCGTGAAGAACACCAAAGGGAACACACTCAAAGAAGATTGGATAGCCTATATCTCCAGAGAGATCCTGAGGGTGAGGACAAGGCGTAGATCTTGTGTTTTATTTTCATTTTCTTTGTCCAAAGTATTTCTTTACATTAATTATAACTGTACATGTTGCTCTTTTCATGAGAACCCAGGGCTTTGTATTGCTGGCTGGCTTTGATATTTTAAACTGTATCATCATTTTGATATAAAGAATCTAATATTCTGGCAAGTATCTAAAAGAAAAAGTAGACATAACCAAAAAATAAGTTTTTTTTCTGTATCTCTCTGAATTCATCTTCAAGTGTTAAAAAGAAAATCAAAATGGAGAAGAGAAATGATTGCTGTTGTTTTTTTATGGGAATCTTGTGTTTAAGCTTATGAATCAATGTTAATGCTGCTGAATGCTGGCTTTCAAACTCATCCTGTGGACTTTGTCATTAACTGTTAGAAATCTCTTGAAATATTTTGAGAAAAAATCCTAGTGTTTAATGTTATTTACAGCCACTTAGAAAGCTGGATTATGGTCTTAGAGTAAGTTTCTGAACTACTGTTATTGCAGCTTCTGAATGATCCCTCTTATAGCAGAACCATCCTGATGGCATAGGCAGAAGGTTCTTAGTATTTCATACTTGAAAAGTGCCTGTGAGTTGCCAGTGGCCTCTTTTTTTTTGGTCAGCCAGCAGTTTTCTCTCTACTTACATCTACATTACATACTTAAATGACTTGGTTTGATTTCATTTACCACTACATTTAAAAAATAAAGACTGTAGAGTTGATCCTAATTGTTATGCTTCTCTCACTTATTTTATTTTATATTTGTAGGTAAATTTACCCCAATTTTTATATTTAAGTTTCATGGAGGACTACAGGTTTTAAAATGCCATATAGAATTCATGGAGATAAGTTTTACTTAAATATTTTACACAGCCCTTGGAAATAGATGTTTTACACAGCCCTTAAGAAAACTGGTTGTGAGAACCATCTATTTATGACCATATGCAGATTTCATTATTAAAACATCAGGGTTCTATCTTTTCACCAGGAGCAGATTCTAAAAGTGGGAAAGTAAACCCTGCCCTACACTTCTGTGGTGGAGTTCAGCCATTTGTTGTATTAATAGCTAAATCTCTTAGCCTGGAAGGCAGGGAGGGAGCCCTGGTTAAGAGTGTAGGTGCTAGAGTTCATCAGGCCTTGGTTTGAGTCCTGCCATGCTGCTTACCTGCTGTACACCTGGCAAAGGCACTCAACTTTCTGGAATTAACTTTCTTCATCTGTACAATGCAGGTACCAAGCCTATGAAGGGGGTACCTTCATTATGAAAATTAAATCAGTTGTTATATATGAGTCATTTAATGTCACGTGTGGTTACACAACTGATCCTTAATATTAGTTGACATTATTCTCTGTTACATGCACACACTTACAGGTACCTTTCCTATGTGTAATTCCACTGTAGGATTTCTCAAGTGGAGAACTAGGTTTTAATATTGTCCAAGGCAAAAAATGTATTTCAAATAGGCAGTTTATATGTTTTTATATGTATAGGCAAGCATTGTTTAATAAGTATATTTACCTATTTTACCACCATTAGTCTCAGGCAACATTACAAAGCAGTCCAGGTTGTTCGATGCCCCTATTCAATGAATATAGTAGCTTAATGGACATCTTTTTTGAGATGCAGCGAGTGTTTTCCACCTCACCGAACATGTGAAATTAAAGTTTCCTTTGTCTAGATTTCATCTAGAATAGGAGTTTTTCCTATGACAGATACCTAAAATGAACTTTTAAAAAAGCCTTGGAAAGAGTCAGGGCATCAAAAGCTGGTATGTATTTATCATGAAGGAATTACTGAGAGTCAGTTTTGGTAATGAGAAGGCAATGTAGTGAGCAAGGCGTGAGCTTTCATGGGAAAGGAAGGCAGTCTCCCCCAAGCAGGTAACCTGGGATCTCAAAGACACAGCCAGGGATAATGTCTGTAGTGGTAAAAAATGTTCTCACTTCTTAGTGGATGTTGGATTCAGATGCTGCTGGGTTAAGATCCCTCAAAAGGTCGAGTCCTGAGCATATAGAAAAGCTGTTTTAGACTGGCCTGCTGAAATTTTTGAGACCAAAACATTTACAGACAGAGCCAGCACATTTATTCCAGCTCACTTCCATATTCATGGTCCAAACAGAATTTTGGTGGAAGCCAGCATTTTCTATGGAGTATGAGCACTTACAGCCTTTCATAGCCAATACTGAAGGGCAGCCTTTGACTGCTTCTTGGTCTGTGTCCATAAGTGGAATACTTACAGGAAAACTGTTGCCTTGTTTTGAAAAATTGACTCATTTGGTCTAGAATGGGTATTTCTGTGTATTTGGACTTGTCATCTCCTAAGAAAGAACAATTGTTGTTTGACTTTTGGCATGAGAGTAGTTGATTACACACGTTCCATCCCTCCAAGGTACTCCATCCACCAAAAGTATCTTCATTGTTCAGAGCAGTCATGACTTGGGTTGGTATTGGTTAAGATTAAGTTAGCCACAGTTTATGCAGTGCAGAAGCCACCATCCTTGACAGTAGCAAGCAGAAAAAGACATTTCTTATGTTTATTGCTTGTAAGAAACAGGAGTGCACCCAGGCCACATTTTTCTGAGAACATATGGGTACCTGTGTTGGTTGCTAAAATAATCCCATAAAAGTATAAGAAGGGGGTTTGTGAAAGTTGGAGAAAAAAATGAACTGGAGTAATAAAAGTAGGAAATGTAAAAGAATTAGGGAAACTGTACATTTTTTGGTCTCTTCTTTTGCTGTTCAGTTATTTCATGCTGAAAGGGGAGACTCGTCCTAACTGTTGCACTAAGATACCATATATTTTTAGTTCTCCTTTTCCCTAGTCAGTGCTTTGTGGTATAACACTGCATATCCTATGTGGTAGAAGAATACACAGGGCCATTAAATACTTCTGTTTCTCAAGTGGACTAGTGAAGGATTATTTAAAAACTCCAGTGCTATAAAAACAAGTGTTCTTTAACTCATAGCCAGAATAGTATTGCTAACAATAAATCTCAAAAAATTAAAGAGAAAAATCAAACCTTATGTTTACTCTGCCGTTTTTAATTGAGTCTTTTCAGAGTGAATATGTTGCTTGTAATCTTAACAAAGGTGGGCTTTAGATTTCTAGCTAAAGATGGAACAAACAAATGAGTTGTGAGAATGGTGCATTTTTATCTTTTAGACCATACTAGATGCAAAATGTGGTTGTATTCTTGCTCTACCTTTCATAAGAGATATAGTTTTGGGCTTCATTCCAGATATAAGGTAATCAAAAAGCACCATAGGCCCAGTAGGGTTTTTCTCTTTGGGACATACATTGTGGAACACAAAGCTCCTTTGCCAGAATATTTTATAGTTGGGATAGAGGTGGGATCGATTGGCAGTTAGCAGTTTGTCAGTGTGCTGGGAAAACCAGGCAGTGTTCAGGGCCAAACTTTAAACCTCATTATCATCCATTGCTTTTCCCCTGGGATGTGGCTAGTTCAAATATATCACAGGGTCACCCACAAAAAGAGGTGTAGCATGGGAAGGGAACTACCATGTACACAAATAGCATTAAGTTATAGCAGTAAGAGTGCAGATGGTAATCTATAGTGTGTCTTCAAGGGGTAGCTAGAAAGTAGTGATGTTGCTGGTAGGGATACCTGACCCATTGGAGTTGGAGGGTGGGTGCTTCTTTCTTTCTGTGTAGTGTTATGGGTGATGTCTTCCTGGAAGTGAACTAAGATTGAATTTGTATGTTTTAAATGTGGTTCACAAAACTTTTTGGTCTGCACAGTGCACTTTGTCATAAAGGGTATATTCTTGGTTATTTACTTAACAGCAGTAAAAAACTAAAGTTCAGATCTGTCTTCCTATTCAGGGACTGGCACATCTTCACATCCATCATGTGATTCACCGGGATATCAAGGGCCAGAATGTACTGCTGACCGAGAATGCAGAGGTGAAACTTGGTATGTGATGGATGTACCACAAAATCTCATACTTGTGCCTGATGCAGACCATCAGTAGTCCCTGCCCTGTTTGCATTTAGCCTAAAGTTCAGTCTACTACCCACATTTTCTACTTCTGCACTATTGAACAAGTGGGAACTTGGCATACTGCTTAGCCTGGCTCCATCTCCCTTCTCTCATGCTTCTCCTGCCTGCTCTGTTCTCTATGTAGTAGACAGACTAGTGTCTAAATCACATCATGCCATTTTCCTGCTTAAAGATCATTAATGGCTTTCTGTTTTACTTTGAATAAAGTCCACATTTCTTACCATGGCTTGTAAAAAGCCATGGCCCCAGCTACTTTCAGATGTCATTTTGTGATGACCCGACTCACTTCTCTCTTCTTCCTCAGTCACTACCTTTTTAACTTTTTTTGAACCTGGCTCAAAGCCTTTTCTCATACTGTTTCCCAGTTTTGAAGCCCCTATTTTTTCCTCACCTTCATAGGCCTTCCCTTACCCTCTTATTCATGTTGGGTCCAACTGCTTATTTCCTCTATAATAATAATAATCACAGTTTGTAATTATAATACTATTAATTTACTTGTATTTCTGACTCCTTTACCAAAATATAGGTTCTGGGTGTGCAGTGACCAGGACTGATTCATTTGCCAGACTATTCTTACCCAGCACCCAGCATAAGTGCCTTGAATGTAGTAGGTGCTTAGGAAATGGATGTGTGGGTAGATGAATGGATGGATGGAGCTCATAGTGTTTTTCCTGGAGATGGTTTTATAATGGTTCTTTTATATTTCCATTTTCCCTTACCTGGATCTGAACTTGTTCTCATCCCACTTTCATAAAATAGTTCTGTCAGATTTTTTTTAATTTTATTTAGTTATTTTTCAAGTACAGTTTTTTGTCTGTTTTTCCCATCCCAGCTGTCAGATTTTTAAACAGAATTAACATTGTTTTCTTCCACTAAGGCATCACAAAAAAACCTCTTTTTTAAAAAAATATTTTATTTATTTATCTTTGGAAGGAGAGAGGGAGAGAAACATCAGTGTATGGTTGCCTTTCATTCGTCCCCTGCTGGGAACTGGCCTACAGGGAACTGGTCTGCAACCCAGGCATGTACCCTGACTGGGAATCGAACTGCGATTGTCTGGTTTGCAGGCCCGTGCTCAATCCACTGAGCTACACCAGCCAGGGCACAAAAAAACCTCTTTATGCTTGTAATAATTTAGTCCTCTTTTCAAAAAGTGTAGGCACCATAGTTGTATTTAAAAAATAAGATCTTCATCGTCTCTCTCTTGCATAGTGCCTGCAGTGATTGGTCATCTGTAGAGGAATAGTCTGACTAATTGGAAAATCCCCTCAAAACTAAGAGAGGAGGTATTTGAATGGTTCTCATTCCTAACAACCCAGTAAGCTGTGTGTGTGTGCCCTGCATTTTCCCCTGGTGCTAGGCCTGTGACAATCCCTCAGTAACCACTGGGTGGTGGTTTGCTATTGCTATCCAGGTAGCAGTAACTGCACTGACTGCCTGGCCTGTGAGTCTCTGTCCTCAGGGGAAACGTTCACCATGAGAGCTGGCCAGGTAGTATTTTGATGATGACTTAAACACAGAAGTTGAGTCTGTTAACCCTGTGAGTGATATCTCACCTCTTTACAGGAAGCTCAGGGAGGTGACCAGGTCCAGGCCTCCCAACTTCCAGACTGGTAGAGGATCTTGGCTTTACTCTAGAAAGTTGCTCCTTATCATTGTTGGGACCTTGAGGAGTTTACATGTCCACGAAGTATTGCTGTTTCAGTTTGCTCTGAAGACACCTCTTCCTCACTTTTCTTGCTCTTATATTTTCCTTGTTAGTTGTGTTTCACTTTTCCTTTTTCTTCCTTCTAGTTGATTTTGGTGTGAGTGCTCAGCTTGACAGGACCGTTGGGAGGAGAAATACATTCATAGGCACCCCCTACTGGATGGCTCCTGAGGTCATCGCCTGTGATGAGAATCCAGATGCCACCTATGATTACAGAGTAAGATGGACCTGCTTGCTTGGCCTTCACTGGGTCCCTACCATTCCTGAGGGATGGGGGCTGTGCTTACAAATTTTACACCCCTTATCCCTTCCTGCTTTCTCAGTGAGGATGACATGGCCACCCTATTGCAGATGGAGCTTTGTCAGCATAGTATTTAGATGCTCTCTTCTGTTTCCATTCTGCATTATCACCTGTCTTCTCCTTACTTAGTAATACACTGTTTTCAAGACAGTCTGGGTTGTTTTGTTGTGCATAGGACTTTTTGTTATGAGCATATTAAATGATTCTGCCCTGTTTGCTGTCCTTTGTATTTTGAAGAATATATTCTAATCAGATATTTATTTTTTAAATATTGTCAGATATATAGCAATGGCTCAAAATTGTTAAAGAGCTTTGATTTGGTACATAGGTGTATTTGAATTATTGGAGTGACCTCTAGGGACATATATCAATAATGCACTTTTTTGACCCTGATGTAATGCCCAGGCTTGATCATCAAACTCAGGTTAAATATGTTAGCCCAAACTGTATTTTTTAATGTTCCCTGGCCTTATTTAATGAGTCAGAGTAGTTAATGTACCTGTCAATAATATTCAAAATTGAGTTTATAACATTCTCCAGTATATCTCAGTATTTATTATAAATACCCAATCAATGAAATGCAATTTAAGCCTGTGGTACAGAGGAATTTTAATTTTTTATTAGCCGAACTATTTTTAAATAGTAGACATTATGACTTCACTTTTTAGTTTATCATTCTATGTCTCCAAAATTTGCATTTTCTAACATATTCAAAATATTTCATATATAAATAAAATAAAATAATTTTAAAAAGTACAAAATCCAGTTATGCTGAACTATATTTAGCAACATTATCTCAGAGGAGATGTGTGGTTCATGTTGTACAACACCAGGGAGCATAGAATATCTGCTTGTCCTGCCGCTGATGGATGGCTGCTACTGAGATTGGTCTCTGGGTCGGTGGAGTAAGCCATTCCTTTGTGCCCTTATAGTACAGAAAACTCTATAAAAACAGGGGAGAAATTTGTGGGCTTCTCCTTATTTTTGTACTCAAACATATGCATTTGAACTCTAAATAACTATAGATTATTTAGAACCCTTCAACTGAACCACACTAAGTGATTCTTGTGTTAGGGTAGCATATAAACAAAAGAATGCTAATGATAGTAATCATCCATTATCTACTTTTTAAAAAATCTTGTTTGGATTTTAAGAAATTGGTTGATAATCATTTATTCATTCATCATCCTGTATTTACTGAATGCCTACCACATGCGAGTCAGTTCCAGGGACACAAAGGTAAATAAAACACAAAAATTCTTGTCCTTGTGGAACTTATATTTGAGTCAGAATACAGTAAAATTCAGAATTTAAAAATAAGAAAAGATTCTGTGCACAGAAAGGTACTTCATTTATTGCTCACTCCTTACTAAGTTTGAGGGGAGTATAGAGGGACTCAGCAGCATGACTCACAATAGTGAGCTGTGGTAGATTTTATTAATTCAGCTGTGGACCTTTTATAAAGAGTGCTTTCTAGCTTTTAAACTTTTAACATCTTCAGTAAGTTTGAGATGTTAACAAAACATGTAAGCATAAACATGTATCGGCCAGGAGTCTAAATATTGAATGTTTGTAAATAAATGAAGAAACACTGAGCAGCAGAGCGTATACAGAGCAGCTAGAGAGAGCTTTCACATGGACCATCTCTAGTTCTTTCATAGATATGAGTGATTCTGATTAACAAGTCAGTGTTATCTGTATTTTATTATTCATTTGAAAGGTATTCTTACAAATGTGTTTGTGCTTTTAATTTCCTGGCAAATCTCTTTTCAGTTTATACATCAAAGAATGTGTTTATATCATTTGTGTGGATAACCAGTATTGTTAAGCTAGTGGCCTCATAACTAATATGCTACTCTAACAAACTGTTCTGTTTTTGCAGAGTGACCTTTGGTCTTGTGGCATTACAGCCATTGAGATGGCAGAAGGTGCTCCCCGTAAGTAATGTTCTTTATAGCCAATTGTTATGTGTAACTTTAGCTTTAAGGCTTCTAAAAAAATGGCATCATTCATGGATGAAAGAAAGCCATTCCTGGTGGGACATGTAGATGCAGGAATCACAAATACAGTGAAGTTTTGAATGTAAAAGGAATTCCTGGTATGCACTATTTCTTCTGGAGATCTCCTTGAGGTCTGTAAGCTACATTATACTTTATTTCGGTTGTATTCAGATGTGTGACCTGGTTATGATGACATCACAAAACAAACAGTAATTTTTCTTTTTACAATTTGAACTTAATATTCAGTGAAACCAGTCTTAACACATAAAATTTAAGTATTACTTTTGTTTTGACTTTACAAATAGAGGCAAAACTTTTAATCAGTAAAATGATCTTTTTTGTATTTCTGTGCAGTTTTGCTTCTGCTTTGGATTAAATCAGTGACAACTTCATAAAATTGATTTTTGATCAGGGAATGTGGTAGAATTGCAGAGAATAGGAGAAACAGCATGTTCTGCTGGTTCCCTTGATAAAAATGTATACATCAAGAATGTGTAACTGGTACACAGTTGTTGCTGAATAAATTTTTGTTGAATGAATGAAGAAATTAACAACAGTTAAGAATTAGTTTGCAGTACAAAACTGGATACCTGTCGTGAATACCATATGTTCCTTCATGCTTTCTTCAGAGGAATGGAGACAAAAAAGTAGTATTGCCTGATCCTTGTTTGTTTGTTTGTTTGTTTGTTTCACAATGGGAATAGTATTATATTTGTGTGTGTGTGTGTATGTATAGATTCCCGTTTCTCAGCTGCCTTGTAAGATTCTCATGAAGGTAAATAAACATGTGAAAATGCACATTGCCTATTGTGTACATGTGTACCTAACATGCCTTTATTGGTCAAGTGATGGGAGTACAAACAGTAGTTGCACAGAATTCAACAATTTCATTTTACTGTAACAGTTTTGCTGTTTCATAGTAATAACAGCTCTAATAGTGAACAGTCAGCATGTCTGGAGGATTTAACTGTGCTTACTGTATTCCAATAAGCACAGTTAATGAAAAATTATTTTCATTGTAATCTTTCAGATGGTTTAGAAACGTAAGCAGTTGATTCTTCTAACACTTTGAATCAATATTTATCTTTATTCATGAAAACTTTTCAACATCTTTTTTAAATCGTACATTCTTGTCATTGTACTGGTCCTCCTTATATTTTGCTGTTTGAATGGGGAATTCAGGGTTTGCCTAAAGCTCAAAACTAGATGTCTAGCTTGCTTAACATAAAGCATATCAGTAACATGATAGGACAGAGCCTTTGATATGTGAGTGAGCTCTAGATATCAAGAATGAGTAAAATAAGTGCTGTACTGACATGACTGTCTCCTCTCCCCAGCTCTCTGTGACATGCATCCAATGAGAGCACTGTTTCTCATTCCCAGAAATCCTCCTCCCCGGCTGAAGTCAAAAAAATGGTAAGCTACAAATATGTTTTGTTGTTGTTGTTGTTGTTCTTTTGTTTCCTTTTTTGGGGGGTGGTAATTTTTAATTTTACTCTGAAACAAAATTCTGGCTATTCAGATTAATAAAGACACAAAAGCCAGTGTCCCCAAAACACCCTCTATTAGAAAGTATATTGTTTTTTGTTTTGTTTTGTTTTCCTTGCTAGATTCTCTTTGTATTACAAAATAGTGACAAATGGCCATAATGAAATACCATAACATGATTAAAGAAGAATGTTCCATTTTAATATATCAACACATTTTTAAGTATAATAATTTTTCTAAACATTTTAACATTAAAAAGGAAAGCTCTATTGACTTACAGTCCCTCAGGTGAAATAGGATGTTAAACTTAATGGTGTTACTCACTATTATTATTGCATAACATTGAAGTTAGATGTTTCTTTTTCATTCCAGAAGAATACATTACAGGAAGGGTCCTTTCTCTTTGGGCTTCCACCTTTCTTTCCCCTGAAGTTCTCATTTACCTGCCAAACAAAAATTTATATTTATGGAGAGAGACAATGATGACCTTTACTGATGAAAGCTTTAAGACTTACAGCAGTGTGAAAAAAAAACCAACACTGGTTTGATTTAATTTTAAAATTATTAGGTGAGGTGATAGTGCTTTGTTTTTGTCTGAGAATTATGCCTGCTGTTACCTCTTGAACTGCAAGCTCTTTTTTATCAGTTCTTGTTTGCACTCAAGCTCCCCATGCCGGTGGGCCCTCGCTCCTCTTTCTGCTTCCCTGTTTCCCTGGGCTAATTAATCTACCAGTATCTTACAAAACACCTTCCTACCAGGGTTTTGTTTTGTGTTTTTCCTTTCTGAAACTATTCCAATTAGTGTTGTTTCCTTTTTGGTTTTTAACTCTGATTCTGAAATAGGCAGGAGATCTTAAGTTTTGAGCTTTTCATTCTGGATTTGGTCTTTTAGCTGTTACTGTTGTTTTCTTCTTGGTTGTTCACCTTCTGATGTTTTGTAGCTTTCTTTTCCCATCTGTGGATATAGCCCCCACACGTATTTTTATTCTTGTTTCTTTCCTACTGCTCCATACCCCTCCCTGTCCTTTCTCCCAACACATTCTACTATCCTTTCCCCACCTGTTTGTAGACACTATTTTTCTCATTCTTCTTATACTCTCTCTGACCACATTCAACTCAGAAAACTGAGGTTGCCAATGTTAGAGGTTAGAGGTTTTAAGGCTGTACAATAGTGAAGATTTTAGCCTCAATGGTCTTTTGTATTAAAACATGATAACTGGGCATCCATGGGTGGCCAGCCCTAGGGAGACCAAATGCATATGGAGGACATCACCAAGGAGGAAGCTATGGGACTGGGGTAACACTTTATCTGGCTCTCACAAAACTAATAGTGCTCACTTTTTTTTTCTCTATCAGATTTAATTAAAAGAAGTTTATGTTCTGTCTTCAGGGTGCCTCACAGTTTCTAGGTCTTGTCAAGTGGGCCCACTCTGATGATTCTGCTCATTACTTGCAGTTTGGGTATTACCCACTTATGTGCATAATACAGTGATGTTAAGAGACAAATGTAGATGGTAACACATTCTTCCTGTGGCCTTATACAAACTTTCTCCAACCAAACTTGATTAGATGTGTTTTCATCCATTATTCTAATTTTACCCAAGTTTTCTAAAGGGGCAAGATGATGGGAAGCATAATGTCCAACTTCTTTATGATTGCTGTCTTTCTGTCTACTGTGTGTAAGCTTCTGCTGTCTTTGGAGAAGTGACTTCCAAGATGATCAATGTACTCTCTTCCAGCAGAATGTGATAGTTGATTTTAAAGACTATAGTGTAGACCATTCCCAAATGCTAATCTATAGACATGGTACATAAGGATCCCTTTGGAATCTTTTAGTTTAGAAATCCAGCTTCAAAATTGCTGCTTTGTTAAATCTGAGGAGTGACCAAAGTATTTGTGTTTTTAATGAACTCCCAAAAGGATTCTTGTGGGCAGTAGGGTTTGGGAGTCTCTGTTAGAGCATTACACTACATCCCCCATGTTCCTCATTAACCACAGAATAAAGTAACAACCTCCATCAGTGACTTTGGGGCCCTTCTTAGTGCTAACCCCAACCTATTTTTCTATTCTTGTCCACTTTCCATGCTAGCATCAGGTAATGATGTATTATTCCTGACAGTTTTCTCCCTTTGTTCATGTCATTCCTTTCACTCTGGATTGATAGCTTTTCTGTCCCATTTTTGGAATACCAAAGATTCTTATTTTCCTTAATGTTTAACCCACTGTAGCAGTAGTCCTTTTTGTCTTCTTCTGTAAGTTTGATGATACATCCGCTATTGTGTATACATAAATATTCTCTACTTTATTTCCTGTGTGTATTTTTTAAATATATTTTATTGATTATGCCATTACAGTTGTTCTATTCCCCCCTTCATTCCCCTCCACCCTGCACACACCTCCCCCATCATTCCCCCCCTTTAGTTTATGTCCACGTGTCTCAAATTCTTTAGATTCTATATTTCCCATACTATTCTTGCCCTCCCCCTATCTATTTTCTACCTACCATCTATGCTACTTATTTTCTGTACCTTCTCCCCCCTTCTCCTCCCACTCCCCTATTGCTAACCCTCCATGAGATCTTCATTTCTATGTTTCCGCTCTTGATCTAGCTGTCCTTTTAGTTTGCTTTTGTTTTAGGTGTGGTTGTTAATAACTGTGAGTTTGCTATCCTTTCACTGTTCATCTATTTTATCTTCTTCTTTTTCTTAGATAAGTCCCTTTAACATTTCATATAATAAGGGCTTGGTGATGATGAACTCCTTGAACTTGATCTCATCTGAGAAGCACTTTATCTGTCCTTCCATTGTAAATGAAAGCTTAGCTGGATAGAGCAATCTTGGTTGTAGGTCTTTGGATTTTATGACTTGGAATACCTCTTTCCAGCCCCTTCTTGCCTGTAAGGTCTCTTTTGAGAAATCAGCTGACAGTCTGATGGGAACTCCTTTGTAGGTGACAGTCTCCTTATCTCTTGCTGCTTTCTCTCTGGAAATCTCTCTGGATTTCCTGGAAGTCTATTTCCTTTGCCAGATTGGGGAAGTTCTTCTTTATTATTTGTTCAAATAAGTTTTCCAGTTGTTGTTCTTCCTCTTCCCCTTCTGGTACCCCTATAATTTGAATGTTGGAACATTTAAAGATGTCCTGGAGGTTCCTTAGCCTCTCCTCATTTTTTTTTGAACCCTTGTTTCTTCATATTTTTCTGTTTGGTCATTTTTTTTCTTCCTTCTGGTCCATTCCCTTGATTTGAGTCCCAGTTTCCTTTCCATTACTGTTAGTTTCCTTTGCATTTCCCTTCATTTCAATTAGTTTAGCCTTCATTTGTTCCTCTAATCTATGGCTAAAATCAACCAGTTCTGTGAGCATCCTGATTACCAGTGTTTTGAACTGTGCCTCTGATAGTTTGGCAATTTCTTGTTTGCTTAGATTTGTCATCTCTGGGGCTCTGAGTTCTTGAGCCATGTTTTGATCTGTTCACGCCTGTTATGTATGAGGAGAGGAGCATTAGGTGTTCACCAAGGCAGGGCTACCCAGTTCGCTGGTTTGTGATGCTGTATGTGGGGGTGGGGTCAGAGAGGGAGCAATGGTGGTCCCTTCTGCTCCTTCCCGCTGCTGGGGCCTGCCCAGTCTGTCTCACTGCTCACTCCTTCACTGGTTTATCTGCGTGCAAATGTGTGACCGTGGACAGCCTGCCACCTTATGCCTTTACTGGGTTTGCCCATCACTACCCCACACCTGGGATCTGCCCTTGGCTGCCTGCGTGCCTTAGTCAGGGGATCTTTTTTGCCTGACCTGCTCCGCTGCTGGCTCTGCCCCTCTTACTGTCTGGCTGAGTGGTTCATTGTTGTTGGATTCCCGTATACTTCAATTTTCTGTGGTTTGGCTGTGTTTTTTGTTGCTAAAACTTTGTTGTTTTTAGACTTGGTTGTGCGAGAAGGTCCAGTGTTTCCACCTACGCCTCCATCTTGGCGGAAGTCTCTATTTCCTGTGTGTATTTCTTAAAGACCCAGCATAAACAACTGTAAATTGTTGACCCATAAATATTTGTTGAATTGAAAAAAATAGTAAGTTTGACTGGAAATACAGGGCAAAAGAAGTGATTCTTAAAGCAGTGAAATCATTGGAAAGAATTGAACTAATCTTTGAAATCACATTTTTAAAGACTGAATAACTCATTCATTCAACAAAAATTTATTACATACCTATTGTGGTCTGCCATACTGAGTGTTGGACATAGCTGATAAATTGAAAGATAGGAACCAGTTTCTGACCTGTGCTGTTTCACACCAGCAGGGGGGACAGAAACATTAAGTGCGCAGTGTGTTAAGTGCAGATAGTCCCAGAAGAAAGGCTTCTCACCTGGGGCACGTGGGGTGGAGTGTTGCCAGGAAAGGCTTACCAGGAAAGATGAGGCCTGAGCCAGGTCACAGAAGATGTGATGGGTGAGCTTGTCTGGGCCAAGACTAGGGATGGGATCCTTATGAGCCAGGCACCTCTGGGCAAAAGTCCAGTGGCTGGTCTGATAAACTTTGGTGATAGCATCATTACTGCCTTCAAAACTATTATTTCCACCCCTGTGCATTAAATGTAAAGAACTAGTAAATGAAACAACTTGGGGACTCTGAGCGAAGTGTCTTATTAACGGGTTCAAGACCCCCAGCATTTAGTAACTTGCTTGGCTCTTTCTCTTATTTTCTATGTTGTCCTTGTCTTTCAGGTTCCAGACATCTCTCCTCCGTCTGCCTTCATTTTAGCAAAAACGTCCCCTTCACCTCCTTGCCTCCTCTACCGCTATAATTAAACTATTAATAAACATTAATTAATTTAAATCAGACTTCTTCATGACTCTGTGACGTGTTGTCATTGGTATGGTATAACTCTTAAACTATGTATAAGTCATACCCCTGGTCCCCAGTGTCCTGAGCTCCTTCCTATTTATGTCCCCTGAATCATCCGTGTGCATTTGCAGTATATTCACAATGATCCTGAGGCTCTTCTTTGATTCAGTCTTATAAGTTACTGATATTTTGAAGCTTTGCTTTGGGGATAGAAATTTGATGATCCTTTTTACTTTCTCCTATAGGTCAAAGAAATTTTTTAGTTTTATAGAAGGGTGCCTGGTGAAGAATTACATGCAGCGGCCCTCCACAGAGCAGCTTTTGAAACACCCTTTTATAAGGGATCAGCCAAACGAAAGGCAAGTTAGAATCCAGCTAAAGGACCATATAGATCGGACCAGAAAGAAGAGGGGAGAGAAAGGTATTAAACCTATTTATAATTTCAGCTTAAAAATGCATATGTATATATGTATACGTTAAAAAACTTTTTTTGCCAACCAGAATAGATTGCTTCTGTCCCGACCATGAGTTGTGTTCATTCACCCAGTGCTTGAGGAATTTGTCTTTGCTTTGCAGATCAGCAGCGGGCCTGGAGTCCGCCAGGCTCTAGGCAGTATCCAGAGAACTGCGCTATGTTTTGCCAAGCAGACGCCATTCAGGCCCCGCGGTTGGTCAGCATAGAGGGTTGTTTTTGTTGTTCCCTCTTAGGAGCACATCTCTGTTGCTGCACTTTTTACTTTATTGTGGCCATTATGACCTGCATTCATCACTCAGGGTTTATGGAACATTGGCTGTGAACATTGTTAACACTGTTCGCCTTTTACTTGCGTGTTGCAGAACTCCTGGGTTCCTTACTGCTTTCCTTTTCTGCCAGTGCTGTGCTTAGGCCTGGGCCACATGGATGACCTAACTACTTTTCTTCATTTACTGCATAACATGAAGATGCCCTTATGCTTGCCAATTGAGGTTTCTTTCTGTTCTCAATATCACTGTTTGATATCTTTCCACGTTCTGTGTCCACCTGCCTGGCGTGCCCTCTGTTTCCCTCAGTCCAGCAAGGTACTCATCAAGCTTCATCACCTGCTTCACCGAAGCTCCTTCTCTGAGGTCTCTAGTTCACCTTTGACCTTTCTGTTTTGCAAATTCTTAGAGTAACATTAGGGAACAACATTAGAATAACAGGCATCTTGTTAATGAATTTGTTTTGACACTCAAATTTCAAGGCTAAAGAAGAAACTAAAAAGGGCCAAATTCAACACAATGAAAGAGTTTGTTACAGTCACCTGCAGAGGCTTTTACTGACCTGTTTACATGTCCATTTCAGTTTTACACAACTTGGGTATTCAGAGTTAAGTCATCATTTGATGTTCACAATGACTTTTTTGCCTACTGATATACTCAGTCATAAAAGTTATTAACCTCTTATAATTAAGCTACCATTTGGAACAAAGAAAAATAAGTTTGCAACAAAATAACCCTTTTTTTTTTGGAAAGGGTTATATGCATATTGGATCGTTTTCCCGTTACTTTCTCTTTATCCTTACCTGAGGACTTGGTTTTTTATTTTAGAGAAAGGGGACAAGGGGCAGGGGAAAAGAGAGAGAAAACCACTGATAAGTTGCCTTTCATATGCACTCCACCCTAACCACAATTAAGGCATGTGCGCTGATTGGGAATTGAACCCATGACCTTTAGGTTCACGGGCTGACGGTCCAATGGAGTCACATGGGCCAGGGCTCCCATTAATTTCTTAATAATAGCCAACAGTCATGGAACATTTGCTGTTCCAGGCACTAATTATTATTTAATTGTAGTATCTTGTGTATTTTTCATCCACATTCTGCAGATAGGACAGTGGTACCTTACCTTCACTTCTTATCTTTAAGTCACAGTGGCCTTTTTTTCTCTTTGCATTAATTCATCTTCCAAATATTCTTCACTTCTTGTCCATAATTAGTCGTTTATTATACAAAAATTTAAACACAACAGGGAACCTATTGGAAGGACTCCAAAGATTATTTAGGTAGACTTTCCCTTGGAAGCTAGCCTGTTTTTTTTTTTTTTAAATTAATTAATTAATTAATTAATTATTAAAGATTTTATTTTTATTTATTTATTTTTAGAGTGAGGGGAAGAAAGGGAGAATGAGAGGGAAATAAATATCAATGTGTGGTTGCCTCTCACATGGCCCCCCCTGGAAACCTGGCCTGCAACCCAGGCATGTGCCCTGACTGGGAATTGAACTGGTGATACTTTGGTTCACAGCCTGTGCTCAATCCACTGAGCTACACCAGCCAGGGCTAACCTGTTTTTATGTTCTTTAAAATTAGATATTTTTGACTGTCTAGCATAGGAGAAATAGACTGATGAGAAGTTGTGTGTGTGTATGTAACATATCTAATAGTTATATGTAGTAGATCATGTTTCTTACCAAGAACTGCTTTTAAACTTAGGTCCCTGGAATAAGTTAGAAATGTACTTCTTGTTTGAGAAGAGATTTTGTTTTATAAATCTTTTTAACCTTTGTAGTTTTGATTGCTCCATGGAGTAAAACGGCTCTCTGAAAGCCAGGTACTGATATTAAGCTGAGTGTCCAATAAAACAGAGTATTACTTTTAGAAAAATGTCACAAAACCTGTTGAAGTGAAAATAAGTTACTCATATTGAAACTTTTGCTTAGTCTGGTCTAAGGAGAGCCACTTTTGTCTCCTTTTGTGGTATTGTTTCATCAGTTTCTCCATGATTTCACCTTTATAATTTTGTGGAATTGATTTTGGTTTTTGGGGTTTTTTTCCTGCTATAAGTATCTTCTTCATGTTTTACTTTTTATCAGCCCAGCAGACTTTCTCTCTGCTGCACGTTAGGTAGATCCTCAAATACTATTGTAAATATAAATCTTTTAGTTGCCTTAGTTTGGGCAGTTAAATCTCTTTCTTATGAATTTTGGCATCAAAGTGGATTTAGAATTTCTGAACTTGCCAGCACTTTGGGGCCCATTTTCTACTATGTAGAGGGCTCTGGAGCCCCTGTGACAGCCCTGCTTCCCCTCAGCAGTGTATCCCCTGAGCAGATGCAGCAGAATCTGCTCTTGACTGGCAAGTGAGCAAGGATAGGTCAGGGTCTTGCCACCACTTACTGTGGGAAAGTTGTGTCTTGCTGTTTTTCCCCCCAAGTTCTCCATGCACATTGTTATTTTCACAAAGAGTATATTGTCTGCCTTGACCCTCTTGAAGATGCTTGTCTGTATGTGTATGCCATGATGTGAACTGTCCTGTTGATTTTTTTTTAATAGATGAAACTGAATATGAGTACAGTGGCAGTGAGGAAGAGGAGGAGGAAGTGCCTGAACAGGAAGGAGAGCCAAGGTAATGCTAAAACCACTGTTCAGCTTCCTGCACTATGAAGAGTAATGCCAGGATTTCAAAAGATTCATTTCTGTGTTGTGTAATGAATCTTAAATTACTTTGAAAGTGCCTTAATATCTTCTGTTCTTCTCTATTTGTTGAAAGCCTCCTGTAAATATTTTCTCACCCTGGATCCCCTTACCCAGTGGTTCTTTACCAAGATTGCATTGCTTTCCTTCCCCCCAGTCACTTGGAAATGTGTGGGCTGTGTTTGGTTCAGGGGAGGGGAGCTTGCTGTTGGCATTCAGTAGTCTGGCTTGTGAATGGTAAAGGTCTCATGGTGCATGAAACTACCCTCCACACACAGTTGTCCACTCATGGGCCAGTAGGGCTACACCACTGAAAACACTACAGTTTTTCCCAAAATATTTTTATTTGTTTGTTTTGCTCTTCACACAAGGGTGGTGAGACCAGCATTTCATTCCCTTTATTAGGGTATATTCTCTCCTGACCTATTTTATAGGCCATGTTTTTGTTATCTCTGGCTTCCTAATGTACAGCGAAGCAGAAGGGTGAAGGGTTGGTAGTATGAACCTCACTGTAACTAATTAATCAGGAAACAGAGGATTTTAAAATTTAATATTGATCTTGCCTGGTTCTTGCTGTCCTCAAACATAACTGACTAACTGAACACAGGGGTTGGAGGAGTGTAAGATCTGAGGGGACCCAGTGCAGAGGATGTCAGCAAGGATGAAGCTATCGATAGCAAGAGATAAGAGAATTTATTGAAAAAAATCCATAATATCTTTTTCTTTTTACAGAGAAGATTTGAATTCATTTGAAAGTAAAATTTTTAGAGTAATTTGAACTGATTTCATGACCAATGTAATTATTTTTGGATAGGAGCATGATCTAATGAAGGAGGTCATGTAAGGAGATTTATTTGCCATGTTACTCTGGGTGTTTTAGAAGTGGAGGGGGGACCATCTAGGAATGATGCTGTTTAATCAGTGGATAATTCTGGGGACTCACTAGCTGCTGACCCTGAAAATAGGGAAAATGGAAGAGAATATGTAATATGACTTGGTGTACCAAGATGAAGAAAATGAAGGGTAAGGTAAGTACTGAAGGTTACTCTGATATTTCTTTCCTGGCAGACCCAGAACATGATGTTGCTCTTATTGATGGGAAATAAGGTCGTCAGAGAGGGACTGAATATGAAAGATGGTGATTTCAACTTTTAAATTTAGAGTTTGAGTTATGTGAGAATCCTAACTAGAGATGTCTTGTCAAGCAAACGTCCAGGCCAGAGTTTTCAGATATTTATGAAATGGATAAAAAGTAATAAAATGTATTATCTTGTACATGCAGTAATTGCCATGGACTTACTTAGCTGAGTCTCAGGGTGTGAGTAAGTCATTTAGATAGTGACTGTGAGGCTGTGAAAGTTGTCTGCACTCTTGAAAGCCCTGCTTCCTCCTACAGTTCCATTGTCAACGTGCCTGGTGAGTCCACTCTGCGGCGGGATTTCCTGAGACTGCAGCAGGAGAATAAGGAACGCACTGAGGCTCTTCGGAGACAACAGCTCCTGCAGGAGCAGCAGCTCCGGGAGCAGGAGGAATATAAAAGGCAGCTGCTGGCAGAGAGACAGAAACGGATTGAGCAGCAGAAAGAGCAGAGGCGGCGACTAGAAGAGGTAGAGATAGAAAATAAATGTCCAAGTTGGTTTTCTCTTCTTTTGGTCCCATTGGTAACCAGACATTCACAGGCATCTCTCTGTAACCTCTGGAAGCACTACCTCCCCCTGGCAAAGCTATTCAGTAGCTTCTCAAGGAAAGCCTGCGCCTCCGAGGGGCAGGCCTTCACATTGCTTCAGGTTGTAGGAAAGGTTTTCTTGCTCGTATAGACTTCAGGGACCTGCCCCACAGTTACTCGGCATCATTTCTGTGATAGAGGCAAAGAGTGACAGGGTCGCAAAGATAGTATCACACTAGTTCTGGAGGTTGTTTTCATTATTGTTTAAATTGCCTAGCTCAGGCTTGACCCCATTGCTTTCCATCCTTGGCCGTTTGGTTCAAGTTCTGAAACCTCAGAGTTTTTCACGTGAAAAACATTTCTCTACAGATGCCTTAACTTTAGGTATTTTTATAAATACCTTAACTTCAGGTATATTTAAGAATAAGAGATGAAGAAAAGAATTATACCTGGTATAATACAAATGCATTTCTGTACTTTAGTTGTTAATGTAGCCTTAGTTATGTCCTGCTTTGGGGAAATACATTTTGTACTGCCTGCTCATTTAAGTCATTAATACTGTTAACACTGGTGATGTGGTGACCTACAGCTTTTTCATTTTTAATTCACAGAAACATTATTTCCCTGTGTTTCAGTTAGGGCTCAAAAGAGGTTTTTTATTTTCTTTTTCTAATTGCTTTTATTATATACATTTCACAGCTCTAAATCTCTCATTGATAATAGTTTCTATTTCCATTTAATTTACATACCTAATTATTTCATCTTGCACCACAAAAAAAAAGCAAACATATATAGATATAGTATTAGTACAGGGCTTTATTCTATAAATATGATAACAACACATGCTGTTACTCAAGTTATTTGAGTACATTTTGTGAGGGAAGTCTTTATTTTGTTTGCTGTGTTTATAACCTGAATTCCACACACTTGATCATTTCTACTCTAGAAAGCCAGGGCTTGTTTAACAAGGAGACTCGGAATCTTCACCCAGAGTCTGTGGACTACTTTTAAAACTGTTCTCAGTGCTCTGTGAGGATAATGGAGTGGTTTATTCAAGTTGCATGTTGACCATTTGGACTTATGGGAATGCTTCAGTTTTGAGGCTCTATACTAGTCGTTTATCTAGAACATGAAGTTTTTTACTGTCCTTTCTAATCCTGGGCTGTAGTTTCATTCATCACATGAAACAGATTAGTTTGGTGATTTATAACTTGAAGTGCCAAGGCAGCAAGGCAGCTTGGCTCATTTATACCACAGGCCATGGGAACTGCTTTCAGACCCAGTAGTGGTGAGATGAGTATCCATCGGGGAGCCTGTAAACACGGTAGGGAGCAAGGATTGCAGTGGCTCAAAGAGAGGAGTTGAAGTTTTAAAGCAGTGATGTTTTATTAGCTAAATAGAGGCTAAGAATTGCTTGTGCGAAATGAAAATTTTGCACTTACCATTTGTATCATTTAGCCCTTTAATGTCAGCTTCTCAGTAAAAGTTCAAATTCAGAGTCACCTTCTGCATCTCTATCAGGAATGAGGGATCTGGGTTGTGAAATGTAATGTTTGCATAAATGTAATCCACCGGTTTGGATTCTTGATAATCTAGCTCCTTTTTATTAGCCTGGGTAATTAAGCATTGTCTGTACTCTAGGTCCCAGAGGATAATTTGGGAATATTTGAGCCACAAATGGTTTGTGGCCCTTTATTGGCATTAAAAGTTCAATAAGAACTGTTTGGGGAATAAGGATTTCTTTTGTTATTAGCAAAATAGGTAAAGATGGTCAGCCTCACTCATAAGACAAATAACAATTAAACCTAAAAGGGGATACCTTTCTACCTGTTAGTGGTAAAAAAAAAAAAAAAGGGTCCAAAAGTTGAAGTTGTGAGGAAGCACAATACAGATGTCATTTCTTTGAAACTGCCACAAAATGAGGCCTACTGGGGGTAGGACATCTTTAAGAAATCTATCTGTAAGTATATACTCCCATTTTCCTTCAGTGCTCTGTTGGCATTTGCTGCTGCTGGCATCTCTCCCCTTTGTTTTTTGAACTTCCTCCTCCTTGGCTCCTGTGTAAACTACAGATCATGGAAGTCCTTTTGGATATTTTTGAGTGAAGTTTTTGTTTATGCTTTCCATTTTCTGTGTTGCTTTTGGGTGGTTCAGGGAGGAAAAGCAGAGAATGCTGAGTTCATGCAGCCAAATTTATACTGGTAGTTTCATATACCCTTTTCCTTTCCCTGTTCTGTGTGTGCCCCCAGTCTGTCTCTTCTGAGTATGCTCACTGCTTCTCTGTGAATATGAATCCACATTCAGAACCCTATGTGATGAACATCTCCCATCACCAGTTTTAATATTACCTTTCATGTTTGGATCATAAAGAATTTTGTCTCTAGTAAAAATGGTTCACAAGCTAGCTTTTCCTCCTATTCTCACCTATTTTCTTTTTTGAGCAAAAATGAAGAATATTTAATTGTATTATGCTGTTTTTTAAAATAATTCTTGATTTGGTACCTGTTAACTTTTCTTCCCTATTCCCACGACATTCACTTACTTCATTAGCGTATTTTTTCATTCTTTGTCTAAGTTTAATAAAAATATTAAACAAGATGTTATCTTTGAGAAAACTCAATCAATACTCTAAGTCAACATTACTACCTTAATTAGTGTACTTTTATTATCTATTAAAGTGCTTTTTATTTTTATTTATTATTTATTAAATTTATTGGGATGACATTATTTCATAGGGTCATATAGGTTTCAGGTGCACATTTCTATGATACATGATCTGTGTATTGCACTGTGTGCTCACCACCTAAAGTCATCACTATATATTTTGTCCCCTTTACCCTTTTCTACCCCCACCCCACCCCCTTTTCTCTGGTAACCACCATGCTTTGTGTCTGTTTCTGTTTCAGTTTTATATCCCACATATGAGTGAAATTATATGGTTTTTAGCTTTTTCTATTTAGCTTAGCATAACATTCTCAAGTTCTATCTATGTTGTCGAAAATGGCACTATTTCATCTTTTCTTATGGCTGAGTAGTATTCCATGGTATATATGTATCACATCTCTTTTTATCCATTCCATGCTTTGGATATGGTTTTGAACCTGTTACATATTTTTAGTTTCCTGTCTCCTAGTCTATACTTTTTCATTTTGACCTCATGGAAACTGTCAAATTATTGGTAAAAGCAAGATACATTTGTTTGAGGTTTGGTGTGCTACTTTTAGAAAGGCTGTACGATGCCATCACAACAACACTACATTCCTTTTATTTATTTTTAACTGTGTATAAATGATCTTTTTAGTATAGGTAGGAGTCAATATCAAGCTTTCTTTTTGAGATTACAACTTATCCTTTTCTTTAAAAATAATCCCAAAAATAGGGGGTCCCAATTCCTTATATTTTCCTCATCTTACCCTTTTATGGAGATGACCCTGGCATATGCTCTATAGACTTGATTTTTGCTGCTAAATCCAATCAAGAATCTCACCAAGCAGGCCACCTGTTTTATTCTGCTACTGTTTCTCCCTTTCTGTTCTTTCTTTTTCTTTTCTTTTTTAATCCTCACCTGAGGCTCTGTTTATTGATTGTTTTTTGACAGGAGAAGGGGAAGGAGTGGGGAGGGGGAGAGAGACAGAGGGAGAGAAACATCGATTGGTTGCCTCCTGTATGTGCCCCAACCAGGAACTGAATCTGTATAACCATTTGGTATTTGGGACAAACCTTGAATCAGCTAAGCCGCCTGGCCAGGGCTCCCTTTCTTTTCTAGAACAAAAGCTGCTGGTGGGACATTCAGGACTTGCCTATCTCAGTATTTTTCTGCATTTACAAAGAATAACTTTCTATCTCTATGATTTTTTCCTTTCAAAGTTTTTTTTTCCCCTAGAGTTGCCATTGCCCGTTTGTGATTTGGGGGAATTTGCTTTCCACCAGTAAGGGGTAAATGTTAGTGTGAACCCTAGCAGTTTCTTTGCTTTTTCTTCTATCCAGAGGACATTTCATTTCTCTCTTATCTACCAATTCCAAAGTGGCAAAAATTTTAGAGAGATGGGTGGAAATTGAAGAAATTAAAAACAAATGGAAGCAAGAGAAAAAAATTGTGTGAAATGAGTATAGTACTAAAGCTAAATTATAACATTAGGGAAGCAGGAGTTTCTAAGGAAATAATTAACAAACTGTGACATGTGTTTGTTGTATATTTTTTGGATATGAGATCTTCGGAGGTACAGTAAACTCTTTCACCCTGGCAGTGTTTCCATGCATTTTAAAGAAAAAGGAACCATTTCTTTACCTCTCTTTGTCTACAAGAAGGCATTTGCTTGGCCAGTCACTCGTATCTCACATCAAGAGCACATGTTAGCCCATTTCCAGCTGTGCTCTCTGCAGTAATCGCTGTGGTGGGCATGCAGGGACCCCTCTAGCCCAGGCCTAATCTTCTGCCAAGTCAGCAGCTTTGGTATTGTGTAGAGGGTAGTGCTTTTGTCATTCAGAACTCCCTGTAAGTTCATAAATGTTCTTTTGGTGTCCAAGTCTAGTATTTGTTTATATTTAGAGTTACATTTTGTAAGAGTTAGTTTAATTCAGTAAACATTATTTGTTGCCTAAAAATGGAGAAGGGATCCTTTGGGGAGAAGCAGATAGTTTCTCTATTATCAGTAGACATATTTAGAAAAGTTTTTAGAACTTTGTGAGGCAAAAACATTGCCTTTAAATACCAAACTGGAAAGGGAACTTTGATTGTTAAAGTATAGTTGATTGTTAAAGTATAGAAGATTGTTAAAGTATAGTTGGAAAAGTACATATTTACTCAGGCATGCTTGGAAAGTAATAAGGAGATCTTTTTATAAATTTGAGAGATTTGGAAATCACAGCATCGTGCAGTTTCTCAATTTGTCTGATTTTGTTTCCAAAGAAATAATGACTTAAGGAGATAATGACACCAGT